TTGAATGCCCTCGGCCACATATTACGTCAAACAAAGACAACACCCTGCCGGAGGTCTATGATCAGTTATTTCAATCAAGACGGATTGAAGAAGTTCCGAGGAAGACCCCGCACCAAACTCGTGACCACCATTAACGAAGACATCAAAGTATTCGAAGCAACATATCAAGAAGCAGCAGCAATTCTTGAAATTGCACCAGTGGAGTCTTTCGAAATCATGTTTCACCTCGCTCGAAACGCAGCAGAAAAAAATGCTTGAAGAACATCACGAGCGCTATCCATATTGAAGAAACTTTTGTTAAAAAGTAATTTTCAAATGTCTTCGCACCAATGTGCATTTCAGGATTTTTACAATAAACTAATCTAAATGATTTACAAATGTTATTTACAATAATTTACATACTTTTTGGTTCTAAACCATCATCTTAAAAATAAGCCAATCACAGTTGACATCTAACTTACTATTACGATTAAAATACTTTTAATCTCTAAAATTAATTAAACAAATTTAAATTAATTTGTCTGGAAAATTCTGAGTCGTAAAAATTTTTTGGGAGTAAATTTTCAGTGTTAACTCCCCTCTCCTAAACTCATCGCGCGTGTTCAAGCCCGGTTTCTCTTTCATGATATGTACCGCCTCTAGTGATAACAATTTTGTTTGGTTGTTTGACCTATCTATAATTTCCCGACTAAGATCTGCGCTATTTCCCTCAAGTTGGCCTTGCTGAAGGTGGAGGCCTACCGGTGAGTCTGTTTTCTTATGTTCCTCAAATCTAGTGGTCAAGTTTCGAACAGTTTGTCCGACATAGATGGAAGTGCATCCACTACATGACAGTTTATAAACACTCTTGACTTGAGGTCATTAGAAAATGCTGACTTCAGTGATGGTAAACATGATTCTAGTTTTCTTGTGGTGAAAACCACTTGAACGTTAGTTAGTTTTCATAACCTGTTTGCAAAATATTGGCTTTGGTTACCTCTATATTGCACCATCAGCATTGGAGGCTTCACATCCTTTGGTGATTGAGTTGACAAACACCTCTCACTATCCAGGGGCTTGCCCTTGCCCTCGATGATTTTGCACAAGGCGTCTGAAGCCACATTTGCAGACCAATTTTCAGGGCACTGATTTGTCAGCCATTGCGCCCTATTAGTTTCCATAGCCTTATCAAATTGCTCCCAGCTAAATATACTCTTAAAAACACTGTGTACAGTGCCTTGGATAACACTACGCTTATACTAAGTTGGGGCGCAGCTTCTATAAATCAGTATAGTCACTGTATTTGTTGGTTTTTGATACCAACTGCAAGTTAAACCCCTAATCTGCGATACATTTATGTTCAAATCCAGGAACGCAAATTCCAATCTCGGCTCCCCTCTGACTGTTCTAGCAATGTCATCCACATACCTGAGGAACAATTTTACCTGGGGAGTATCCTTCTTCTTGTTTTTAGCTCGGCAGAAGCTTTCACAGTACCAGACTATCTCGGTTAATGATGCGTATACGTCATCGGATATTTTTCAGCATTTTAGATGATACCAGCTTCGGCAACTCTTGCATTCAATCCCCTTTGATCTATATGTGACTTTTCTGCTACAACATGGGCACAGACCGTTTGTGTCATTAATTTGCTGTATCTCCGTTCCCACCGGTGTTTCTTGTCTTAGAGCAAACTCGAACTCTTTCAGCCATAGGTTTACCAGAATTACAGCGAGGGACGCGCCTATTGCTAAACCATCTACTTGTACATACCATGAACCATTACACTTGCAATATACTTTACTGACCGCCATATTCAAAAGCCTTTTCATGGTTGCTCTTTGAATTTCAGGAGGAGACTGCTGGCTGTACAGCTTCTGTAAAGCAATTTCAATTGCCTTCTTCAGGGGAACGTTGGTGTACAAACTTTTCACATCAAGAGATATTATCGCTTCATCCGGATCTAGAGCAATGTTTTCATTTGGTTCTCTGGCATCCTTAGGATTGGTTTCTATAATGGCTCCATCGATGATGTCAAAAAACTTTGCAAGTATTTTGTTATGATTCTCATACGAGCTGCCTGGAAGTGATAGTAGTGGTCGTAGGGGTGTCTCAGCCTTGTGTACCTTAACTAAAACGTACAATCGGGCGAATTTCCCCCCTGTTGACCTCATCTTAGAGTGTAACTGATCGTTTATCTCGTCTCTTTTGTTCATGGCTAGTAATTCTTTGTTAAGTTCCTTCTCAATTTTTAGTATAACCTCATCAGTGGTTGCATCTTTTTTCACAAACTGAGCAGATTGCAACAACGATTCCAACTTTGATTCATACATTTGTTTCCTCATTATGCAAAAACCAACCCACTTATCAAAAGGCACAGCCAGCAACCCATTATCTTTAAGATATTTCCTCGTTTTTTTCAACGGCTTTGTCTCTTGGGGTCTGCCTTATGTTTTTTGCATATGCATTTGCCGCTGCTTCAATTTCCCAAAAAGTTTCACCAGATGTTTTTTGATTTTTCAAATGTCAGAGGAAAATGTCGATATCCGCCAAATAGTGTGTTTCATTAAATTTGTCTCTAACGGTATGCTTGGGGCCCATTGATAGCACTTCATGTACCCATCCAGGCAGTTCAATGTTATCAAGCACCTTAACTGATGGCTCATTTCTCCCCCCAAGAGTTTTATCTTGTCTCTCGGACAGTTTTTATAACTTTTTTTTATGGTTTTCTGATGTTGTCTTTAAGTTTGCCTCAACTTGACGCCTCGCAAAGCGGAATATGGATACCCACCACTGTTGGTCGATTTCTTTTTGCACCAGTGATCTTGCTTTTATTAGCATCTCCTCGTACCTTTTCTTATTCTAATTGCCCTAGAGGTTTCAGTCCCTAGTAGTTTCAATTGAAAATTATGCACAGCTTGGTCCAAAAAAAACCCGTTCTTGGGTACCCTAAATTTCAAAAAGTTGGGTAGAAGATCGTTTTTCAGACATTTTCTGAGAAACTTCGGTCTATGTACAGATACTTGAACTTTTTTAAAGATTTTTAAATAGTCTAACACAATTTTCCAAGTTAGTTTTTTTAACATTTGTCTGAGCCAAACAGCAGGCAAAATTACTGTGGTCATTGTTTTGCAGGGCACGAGTAATGAAACTCACAAGGCTTAAAGCAAAACGAATCACATTCTTCTCACTCTGTCTTTGAAGAGCAGACACTTCCTCTGCCTTCAGCTTCTGCTCACGCCTTGCTTTCGCCTTCCCCCTTGTTTGTGATGGTCTCTTTTGTTTGACACTGATAGTGCCAATCAGCTCTGACAGCCTTTCTTTGTGTGCCACTACCAATCGCAGAGATTTCAGCTGCAGTTCAGCACTCTGGTGCAGCTTCAAATATTCCTTGAGCAGCTCCGTGTCGTTTTGCTTGCTCTTGGAGAGTAGCCGTTTTGTTGCTGGAATAATGAGCACTCCTGTGCCGACAAGCTGACTAAACAAGTAGGGCGTTCCTTCCCTTCTGCAATATACGATCGCCAATATCTGCTGCTTCTTCGATTTCAAATAGTTGGTCAGCTCCTCGACATCGGCTGGGCGATAGTTGTTTGTTCTGTGACTGCTAAGGGTGTTGTTCACCACGTCGTGCCACTAACCACTTTTTTCTCCTTCATTGGACTGTCTTCCAGTAATCGTCGGAGGTTCTTTCTCAAATTGCCGGAGAGTCTATCCTCGGAATCGTCGGAGGTTCTATCCACTTTGCTGACCATGCGACTTTACCTGACCTGAGCGAGAAACTACAACGAAATCTCTTAATGGGAATTTCATGGCAAGCAATATTCTTATAGAGCAACAACTCAGTAATAAAAAGTAAGTAGACAGAGTTGGAAAAACGAAAATTAAAAAGCTTGATACGCTGGGAGATATTGATAAGACTTTGAACATTAATAAGGCACAACTTTAACTCTGACAGTCATTCATGTGATGGTCAAATGCGATGAAAAGTCAATTCCTGTTTGTTAAAACAGGTTATATGAAAAGGTATGGGATTTTTTTTGTTTGAGGCGCTTTGGAATGTTTTTGTCCCATTATTCTCAATGCCCAAGTTTCGTTCCACAAAATTATTTGCCCTCAACAAATCGAATATTTTTGAATTTTTACCTTTTGTTTGTATCTTTTTGACGTTTTGAAAATTAAACTCCAAAATCGGAGGTTTTGGGTTTTTGGGTTTACTGAAGAGAAGGTCGTGGAAAGTTTCTTTTTTAAGCGGTTATGCCTGAATCTTTTTTTAAAATATTTATCGTCCTGTGAAAAAACATATTTGTAACAATTTGACAGTTTCTTGAAACTTTTTGACCTGTCTCGAAAACTACCCTAGTGAAAGTTAGATTTTGGGTTAATCACAAGATTGGGCTGTGTGAGAAGATCCCCTGCATAAGCGGCTGTGCCTAAGCCTTTTTTGCTTAAAGTTGTCGCCTTCGGAAAATTCACTTTTTTGATGTTTTGACCATCTTATGAAACTTTTTGACTTTTCTCGAAAATCCACTCTTAAATGAGGTTTTGGGTTCAGTAAAAATTATAAGTTGAGAGAATCTCCTCGTTATAAGGAGCTAAGTTCAAATTTTTTAACAAAAATTTTGGCCTTCAGAAAAGTCTATATTTTGATTTCTTGACCGTTTTTGAAACTTTTTGACTTATCTCGAAAACTACTTGGCTCAGATTGGAACAATTGGAGATTCAGAAAATATAGAATCCGAATGTTGATCCAAAACTGGACAATTTTTGGAGAAAAATTGGTATCAATAAATTCGAAACAAAAAATTGAAAAGGAATACAGCACGAGCTGATCGAAAGAGACGAAAAATCGCTTAAATGATCAGAATGAACTGGACTGTAAGACGCCTTCATTTAAAAAATACCAACTTTTAACCAAATCATTTAAATACAAGACGCGGTTTGTGTCCGCACAAAAATTTTCAAATAATATAGGCAACTTTGAAGCAAATGGAAACATTTTAAAAACATTTTAGCCTAATTTTTGTGATAAACTTATTAAATAGATTTGTTATGTTTTATGTTTGTGCCTGTTTGTGGAGCGCCCTCTGAGGGATTTTAGAGACAGGTCTGACAAGTGGCTTTCTGTGGGGAGATGGGAAACTAGAACTGGCTTGAGGAGTCTGGTGGTGCGCCGCTGGACCTACTGAGCTCGGGTGAGATTGTTCCTTGTTTTTGATTTTTATAATTCGATTTTAAAAATTAAATTAATTTAATTGTCTTTTATTTTTTTAATTTTCTGATTTGTAAAATTCCCACTAACCGCTTATCATGGGTTAGTTCAGTCCCTTAAAGTCCAGTCAAAATCCTTTTTTTTACCTTTATGCTGCGTCAAGATGAGGAAAAACAGCAAAGAGTGTACAAGCAAAGATTGGTTAAAACCTTCAGGACTGATAAATTGGATTAGATGTGATTGCTGTTCTAGTTGGTATCATATCAGTTGTGTAAATATTTCTCTTAGCGACTCTAAGAAAACCCAATGGTTTCAGTGTCCTTGATGCGTTGATGTAAAATCTGTTAATAAAGCAACAATAGGTAATGATTTAGTGCTAGACAGTTATGTTAATACAGCCATCTCAAATGTCCGAGTACTCAAGAAAGTACCAAAAGACTTGCGTGTTCCCTTGCCGGAAAGTCTGTCGGACAAAATAAATGACATCGTCTACAATGTAGAAGATGTTACAATATGGCTAATTTTTTTTAACGTCGTTCTTGTTTTTTTTTGGAGCAACCGAAAAGAAGTGGACGCAAACAGACCACAAGCATGAGCTCTTTGATAAATAAAAACAATTCGAGCAAATGACGTGTCATTTCCAAAACCCCGTCCCCAAGTTTCAAGCCCGCCTCTGAGTGACCTCGAGCAGAGAATAAAGTTAATAAGTAGTAAGCTCGATGAAGGAAATGTGAACGGAGGAAAAAAGCTTACTGCTTCGGATGACAAAATTGCTCCGTTTTCGACTGATAACTATCAAAAATTGTTGTCTAAGCGCCCTCAGCGAGCCGAATTTGCAGCTCCATTTCCAGAAAAGTGGGATAGTTTTTTCGTAACTGATTTTGACCTATACAAAGCGACAATGTCTTTTCCGAACGGATCAGCAGCAGGTCCTGATAAAATAGTTCTTCAAATTTTTTAAAGATCTTGTTAGTAAGTCGAATGGCAAGCAGGACTTAATTTTCTGAAATCGCTTACTAAGCTGATAAACCTCATCGGCCTGGGCAAAATACCCGAACCCCATAGACCTTTCTTTTTTGGCGCAAAGCTTATCGCCCTCATAAAGATAGACGGAGGGTTGACACCAATTGCCATAGGCATCACGCTGAGACGTATCGCGTCTAAATGCGCTGGAAGCAAGGCCCTCTTCGAGCGACAAAATTTTTTCGGAAACGTACAGGTAGGATGCGGTACCAAACGAGAAGCAGAAATAGCTGCGCACTCGTTTTGGAACCTAATTGAACGCTACGACAATCCAAAATGCACAATCCAAAATGCACTGTTCTTTTAAAACTAGATTTTAAGAATGCCTTTAACTCTCTAAATAGATAAACAACGCTGAACCATGTTTATTCAAATCGCCCCGAATTGTATAATTACACCCATTGCGCGTATGGTAAACCTAGTTGCCTTTTTTATGGAAGCTCTGTCATAAGTTCAGAAGACGGAACTCAGCAAGGTGATCCTGAATCCCCACCCCTTTTTGCGGAAACATTTCATACACTAGTCAAACAGTTGGAGTCGAAAATTAACATCTGGTATTTAGATGATGGAAATTTAGCCGACGACTATAAGGTAGTACTCCGTGACCTTAAAAAATTTCTCAAATCGGAACAAATTTACGGCCTGAGCTTGAACACCGAGAAGTGCGAACTTTGCTTTTTGGGGCCGACTACTAGTACACAGTATAATTCAATTTTAACACAATTTCGAAAAAATGCCCCAAAATAAAAATAAAAACAAAAGAAGAACTCCTCATTTTAGGATCTCCAATCGGCGAACATTGCCGAAAAGAATTGCTCGACGAAAAAATTAAGGATCTTGAAAAAATCTCGGATGTCATTGACAAACTAGACGCCCATTATGGTTTTTACCTCCTGAAAAATTGCTTTAGCATGCCAAAACTCCTATATATTTTGCGTACGAGCCCTTGTTTTTTGCAAAATGATTTTTTGGAACGCTACGACAAATTACTAAGAAATTCGTTATGCAAGGTCATTAACGTGAAAATTGATGATAACCAGTTTTTTACAAGCAGTTCTCCCGCAGCCAAATGTGGTTTGGGCGTTTCTTCCGCACGTTTACTCGCTTTACCCGCTTTCTTAGCCTCAGCAGTAGGAGCAAAAGATGCCTTGAGCGAAATCTTTGGTTTGAAGCATGTGGATGGAACCTATGATGATGCGCTTAAACGGTGGTTTGAACTTGGAAAAAATGAAATGGCTCCGGAAAATAAAATGCAAAAAAATTGGACGGAGCCAATTATTGACAGCGAAATTGCAGACTTGATTTTACGACTCGAATCAACGAACGTCAAAAGATTCAACGCGTTCCAAGATAGATTTGGCTCCCAATGGTTGAACGTCATCCCATGCAAAAATTTTAAGTTAAAACTGTCAAACCAACAACTCATAATTGCGATAGGACTTCGATTAGGCTCAAAAATATGCGAACGGCATAAATGCGTGTGCGGAAAAGACGTTACCGAGGATGGTTGGCATGGTCTTTTTTGCCTCAAAAGTGCAGGGAGATTCTCTAGGCATTCAAACCTGAATGCCCTTATAAAGCAGAGATTATCCTCTACTCACATTCCGTCTGTTTTAGAACCACGACACCTCTACAGGACCAATCAGAAGCGACCAGACGGTTTGACGCTCGTTCCCTGGGCTGTTGGTAAGCAGCTCTTGTGGGATTTAACCGTAGTAGACTCCTTAGCTCCTTGTAGGATTAATGCCAGGTCTGTTTGTAACCCTGTTACGGCTGCCGCTGAAGCGAAGGAGCAAAAAACTGACAAGTATAAAGATCTTGTAAATGATGGATATCTTTTTCAACCGCTAGCTTTTGAAATTCAGGGCGCGGCCGGCCCCAGCACAGAAATTTTTTTTGAGCAAGCTTTGTAAGATCCTAAGCATATGCACTGAGGAACCCAGAGCATGCAGCTTTTTAAAACAGAGAATCTCCCTGGCAATACAGATTGCGAACGCCGCTTGCGTACTCGGAACAATGAATGACAAAATAACTTTCGATGAAATTTTCCATTTGTAACACTTGTACATTATATTATCTAGAAAATTCCAAGGATTTTGACTGGAATACGTGATGAAGGGACTCCTGACTGTAACCTCGGTTACTATGATACTTTTGACCTTCTGATTACCCTTTGATTCCCTTATAGCGACTGGAATCGAATATGGAAAAGCACATTGAAAATAGTTTTTATTCAAAAATACCGGGAGAACTGGTTTGCAGAACTCTCTGCGCTCTTCTGTAATATCAGTTGTAATAATGTACTTATGTACAAACACGTTTTCAACACTTTTCAAATCGTTAAATTTTGTTATTCAGCAAATTGCATGCATCGAAAAGCCTTGTTTTGTATGTTTAAAGCTCGAAATGTGCTGCAACGAAATAGATCGATTCAAAAATTCAAACTGTTGAAAAACAAGAGTATGTATTCCATACGTCAATCAGAAGCCAACAGAGTTGTTCGCAAACTATATTCTAGAAACAGCAGCAAGAAATATGTGCACTAAATTGTTACTCAAATTTAAATTTTGTTTATTAAGCTTGAGGTTCTCGTTCAATCTACAACAAGTTCGGCGTAGGTATTTCTTTAGATCATCTGATTCCTGGAATGTTGAATTTGGAAACCATTTCAACTTGGTATACTCAAACCTCGACAAATTTTTGACCCAATTTTTATATCTATTTCCTTGTGCAGATTAATTTGTTTTTCCACCGTTCCTTTTTTAGCATTTAACAACAAGAAGAAGAAGAAGAAGAAGAAGAAGAAAGAACACCTGAATTACTATACAGTAAAAAACCGAGGCATCAGTATAGCAAAGTGTAAATAATAAAGTTGGTTAAAATTCATTGGTTACATCAAACAAAAACACAACATCAGAAAACAAGCAATAAACAAAACAAAACAAAACAAGTTCGGTTACAGTTCAGAAATTGGTTGATTAAAATATATGAAGTTACGGATTCTAAAAAAACATCAGTTTTAAGAATTAAGACCGAGCTGGAATTTTAACTTTACAAACAATTTTTTAGATAGTCCAAACATACAGCGTATATACAGAGTATATACAGATTCTCTTTCAAACAATGTCTGGAAAATTAAACTAAATTAAAACATATAGAACTAGCAAAAACGGAAATCACGCCACGTATTCGTATTTGTACATATTGGATTGTTTCTCAATTCACTCACGTAAAATTCTTTCAATTTTTTTTTGAATCTTGTTCTCGATTTTTCTAAATTGCGCAAAATTATGGGCAGTGAATTCCATTTTTTAGAAGTCAAATGAAAAAATGATTTTTGTAGAGAGGCGGTTGAACAATGTTTGTCAAAAATAATTTGTTTCATTTTTTTTGTTGAGCCTATAATTGGCAGTCGGTTGTCTCAATGTATTTTGAAAAGCCTTCTTTTTGTTTGTAAGATATTGGTATAAGTATGTTATACACTTTAACTCAATTCTTTTCTCGATTCCAATGAACGATTTGCTAATGCGAAGAAAGGAAGAAGATTTAAATTTCGATCTGAAATATGTTTTTTTTAACGCCCAGTTCAACTGTTTCTCTAGAAATAGCATCCAAGTAGCATTAATTTGTTTTAAAATTATTGCTGAACAATCTAAATGTGATAAAACAAGACAATGAAGCAAGGCAACTAATGATAATGTCGGTAGTTGTTGTCCAATTGTATCTATAGTTTTAATTCCTTGTGCCAATTTTTGGAGAACTGTTTCGATTTGAGCATGAAAAGATAAACTTGAATCAAGAATAAGGC